CTCAGCGCTAGTTGAGATAGCTTTAATAAAATAGCTACACCTCCTCAATTAAGCAAAATCACCCGACAAAATATATTTTTTTCTGAATGCGGGATTCTGGTTGATCGATTGGTGTGAAGTAATTGATAAAGACGGAAGTTCCGTTATTTGGCAATGTGTCACTCCGTTCGCGCTTGGCGAATTGTGTGTGTGTGTGTGTGATTTTTTAAATGTTTCAATTCATCGTTTCGTGCAAAAAAAATGTTTCGTGAAAACGCTTCTGTTTCCCCTTTGATTTTATGGGTTAATTTATAATCGTGTGAAGATCAAGTGGTACCGTTAGTACGCCGTTGCACCGACTAAACGAGTTTCATTCGGGATCGAATTAATCGATATTCGTATATGTGTACGTTCGTCAAAGAATCAGGGTTGAAAATGTAGGTCTTGATTTGAAATTTTGTCTCCTTGAATTTCTTAATTATCTTTATCCTTTCAATTTTATTCCTGAAAAAATTATCACTTTTAAACTCTCATATATTCGACAGAAAACGGATTTGATCTGCTCACCAATTCAGTTGTTTTTGCTTGCCTATGATCAAATTCAGCTTGAAATTTAGAGACCATCAAACTGGAGGTATGCAGCTTTTCTTGGCTTCTAATTACCCAAACGGAAAACTCTGCATGATGTGAAAAAGCCGCAGCTGATACGGCAGTTTATGCTCCCTTCTCCGCTGAATTATCATCTTGAGTCGTGATTTTCCATTGAAAAAAATTTGCGTGTCTCTCGAACTGCATCACGGTTATAAATCATCAATAGAGCGAGTATCGTCAGGAAATTTTACTATATTTATTTTCCTTAATGGTTCTTCTCATAAAGACTCGTTAATTGTTATTCAGTTGGAACAGCTGATAATGTTTTCCTCAGCATTTCATTTGCGAGTTTTGAGAATATTTTTGCCTTTATAAACGATGAGTAAGATTTTTTGCTCGCAACGTGCAGTGTTCTTTGCTGAACAGAGAATGCGATAGTTAGAAATGAACCTGTAACGGTATTAATGAGACGATGTAAGTGTTTGTAAGATGCACTCTGTTGATACGTCTCAGATGCTCTTTAAGTGACCGTAAAAATTTATGACTTTATTTTTATTCGATGCACACGATGATGTCAATAGTGTATTATGTCATTGTGAGTCAACATTTTCACAATAAATTATTCCTATTATTATGTCAATGTTAAAAAATTTTAGTAATAGTCATCATTCGGTTGATTCCATCATCGTTTATACAACTGCCCTCTACGTAAATGCTCTCACAATGAACTGCTCTCCTTTGCTTCTAGCAGACTTTTGTTAGTTAGTGATGTGCATTGATTCATCCGATAGAATTGTTTTTGATTAGATTTTTAAATAGTTGATCATTTCAGCACATTTTCGGGTATCTGATTGAATTATCCCAATTGATGTAGCATTACCGGGACCGAATCAGGTTCACGTGAGATTGGTGGGAAATTGTGAATGAAACTAATCGTTGTGTGTTATCATTCAATATAAACTGAAAAACAAACGTTGAATCAAAGAATATGCGAAATGTTAGATTAGCTAGCCGTATCATTCCAAAAATCTACTGAAATTTGCATGTCCTTCCTCCAGCTGTTTAGTTTCCATCTAAAGTCTACCATGGCGAGTATCATCCGAATCAACTCAGGCAATACTTTTTATTGTGAATTGCTGTAACGTGTTCAAACGATATTGTGATGTGTTGAAGCGATATTGCAAGTCGTTGCAAACCTACAGTAATGTATTATTAATGACGACATTAGTACTAATCTTATCAGCTGCTATGTTATGTTCACAAGAACGCAAGCATCAGAACTTCGTGAGTAAACATCCAGTGAATGAATATCCTTCAGCTGGTACAACGATCAAAAATTACGAATAAAACTCTGGTTAAGCTGAGATCGTATTTCACGATTGATTACAGTGATAATGTTTCAATAGATTCTCTGAAAGAATATTTCAATAAACTCTCTAAAAGAGAACATAAACGTTTGCGTTGAGCGTTTCTCCCCTTTCAGCATTTGTTCTTACGATTTCCAATTGTTTTTCGTTTCCCGTCTTCCTTTGTCAATTATTCATGTCTGTTCCTATGTAAACTTGCTTTTTCAACTCCAAAAATTTACATGTATATGATAACCTTTCCTTACATGTGTCTGATAATTTTGTTCGCAGTTTCTCTATGATGGTTGCATATTATTAGAAAGCCAAAGCATTGAATGATTATTCATCGACATTCACTTGATTATCATTTCAATGCGATATAAGATATGGTCTTAACCAAAAAATCGTTTTCTTTCTGATTATAGAAGCATGCGCTGTTTTGCAGAAATGTTTTGAGGATGACTGGGTCAACATTCATTTAACTACTTTTGTTGTATGTGTTAAACGCAAGCTGAAAGCAATATCAGTTTGTGGGGGACTGAACGAATCATGATAAAAACTGCAAAAAGTTTCAAACCACATACTTTGTGTTATGTTGACTCACTATCTTTCAATCATTCATCAGGAAATGTCATAAATTGTTGCCTTATCACCTATCAGTAACCTGTTTGATAGCGTTAAATGTTTCAATGTCACACGATCGAATTGTGTGTGTGTGACATTAGAACACTGATCTTATCGTTGCTTGATTCGTCATTGATAGCAATCAGTACTGAATGAATTAGATATTAATGTTTTAAAGATGTCCGGAGTCTTGAATGCTACCAAGCTCACCACTTGTTATGCACATACCCTCTGTTGTATTATAGCAGTGTCGTCTTAGTTTCAAATGCATCTCTTCCTTTGGTCATTTGTATTTATAATGATTGCAGTGCAGGTGATAACAGTCTGTCTGCAATCAGTGATATCTATAATCATTCGTTGCATCATCCTACATCCTGCACAACTCAGACTGCTCATTCCTGCCTAGAAAATGCTGAATCTTCAAGTCTTGTTATCGCGTTATGCTTACCCAACGTAAAGGTGACAGAGCTGCTTTCACATCCTTCCTGACGACTGACGGGGAGGGGGGGGGGAACTGAAAAGAAATGAGGCATAAGTTTTATACCGATAGATCGGAAGGGCAGAATGTGACGTTACGGCACAGGAAGACATGGTGCATGAATTATCTGTCTTCTCTGGCTTATGCACGTAGCAACCAGTTGAAATAATTGGTTTCTGCATTCCTGACATATTGAAACGTCCGACACCAAAACGTTGTGCACCCTTGTCAGAGATGGTTATTATTCGTGTGTGCTTGCATTCGTGAATGAGCATTTTTGTATGTGATATAGTCTCGTACATTTAGGACCGAGATGTCGATGACCCTTAGTCGTGAAGTGGAAACGAGGAATTATTTCTGGAACGAGAAAAGTTCTGATGTGATCGGTCGAGGGTCATTCGGTCAGGTGAGTCTCTTTCGTAGTTGATTCTTCGCAATGACTGAGTTTATTCGTTGACGAATTTTCATAAAGCATCTTAGATTACTTATTTGGAAAAAATTTGTGTTGTGTGCTGTTTATGTTTTACTCCAAGTCATTTTAAGGTATTCAAAGCAAGAGACAAGGAAACTGGTGAATTTGTGGCGGTAAAGGTGTCTGAGCGAGGAGATGACAGGACATATCAGAAAGAGGTTGAAGTTCTGAGAAGTCTAGACTCGCCATATATTATCAAATTTATCACTCAACAACCGGTTCGTTTATAGTTGGCATTCAGCATTAAATTTTTTGCTACTGTGTTTAAGCCTTTATTACGAAATTATGATTTTCTCCCCAGCTGCGTTCCGCAATTCGAAGCATTCGTCTCAACCAAAGTTTAAGCCTTCGCATCCGTGTTAGAAGGCGTGACCGTTCACTTCAGAGACGCAACGTAGTGGGGACCTGAACACTCAGCGAGGAACACTTTTATGTCGGTGAAGTGATTTGGATGAATGAGTGATGGTTTACAGGTGCTTGGCGGTACGGGTCGTTCAGCAATAGTAATGGAATTAGCAAAAAGTAATTTACGCGATGAGATGAACAAACCGGAGAATCGATTTGGCATCCCACTAGATATGCTTATTCGATTGATCGATAATCTTGGTCAGTGCTCGATTTTTATTCGTTTCCATTGTTTTCGGGGATTGTTCGCATTCTTTTGGAGGGTTTTCGAATTGTTTATTACATTTCAGTCATATAATTTTTTAAATGATATCGGCGTCGAAATATCAACATCTGGTTTGCTTTTAATGTTTGTTGTTTTTTCTTTTAAGAGAAGGGCTTATCATATTTGCATCAGAAGAAAGTGGCACATCGTGACGTGAAACCGGCAAATATTCTCATATGCGACTCTGACTCCGTGAACGGGTAATTTTAATGGCTCGTCTTTTTTTGAAACTGGAATCTATAATACGTTCGACGCACCTTTGCTGAAAATGCGTCGTTTTGATACGTTCTATTCGCTTGTGAGTGTAGTTTTTCCCACCACTAAATACGTTACGTATTGGGTGAAGTATCTGTCAGAATGCATGAGATTCTCATCTGGAATCCTTTTTTATCTGCTTGTAGGAAATTGATTCGGAAAGCGAAAAATAATAGTGGAGCGTTATGGCTGTAATTGAAATAATTACATTCATCGATTAATTGAGTGAAAATCTGAATGATTTTCAGAGAGACTTTCAAATTATGTGATTTCGGTGGAGCACGTTACGTTTTCAGTGAAACTCAACCTCTGAATACAATTTGTGGTACTCCGGGATATTTGGTATGCGTTTATCTGCGCTATATACGAGAATGTTTATAAGGGAACACCCGTGTGCATTTGTGCCGTTCTGCTAACGTTAATGTTGAATTTCGTCGCTCCGCTGATACGTTATGAAAATTTGTTGGCCAAAATTTGTCCGTCAAGGTGAGACATTCGATGAGTTTTTAGAATGAATTTACTACCGCGAATTTGGCACGTAGATCAAATGCATACACATATACGAAGGATGAATGTGATCTGTGGTCGGTAGGATGTACAATTTATGAAGCAGCTACCGGAAGGTTGCCATTCATCCCGTCAAGAGGTAATGTTCTATGTTTTCTTATTGCTATGCATGCAGTTATTTTTAAAAATTATCCGGACCGACATGAATGAAATATGCGATGTGATTTCTGGTTAACGAAAAAAAATTATCCTGACCGATGAAAAGTACACTGTTATATATAAGCCTGCATAACATTTGTGCGCCATATGTAGATACTTTTTTTATACATTAATCTTGAAACGTGATTATCTTTGTTATATTATTACATTCACACCTTGATAGTTACTGATGACAGTTACCATAATACTTTTAATGCCATGTTGGTGTGAAGATTCTACATCAGTGTCGTCGAAAAATATTGATTTTTCTTAAAAAATATGGGCAAGACAGAAGAACTTGTTCGATAGAAATACGTTTTCCTAATGAAAGGCACAATATGATTTTCCGTTTTCTCATAGTTATTTCTTATTTTTCTCGATGTTTTTCGTCTTTTGGCTTTGTTCGTCTGGAATGTACAGCGCACTTGTGGTTTTTTGAGTAGAATAGGTCAAGTACGGGTAATGATGGATGATTAAAGGTGCTGCCGAGCATGACGAAATGTACAATATGATGTTGAAGAGGCCGCCGAATGTGATTTCTGGTTACGCTGACCGCAGTGGACGGTATGTATGGAGTACTAAATTACCGTCAGAACAGTGCTTCTATCCAGAGTAAGTTCGATGAGTGTTGCAATACGAAACAGCGTTGATTATTCTGTGTAAATGGTGATTTTGCTACGTCCACTGTATTGTTCTATGCGAATCCGATTTTCAACATTAAAAGTAAATAGCGTGAGCAAATCGTAATCTTCATAATTTTGTTCTTGGATATAATTTCTCGTAAAAAGTGCACTGTGAAAAGGTACACGAAGTTTGAAGAGGAATCCGATTCATCGTGAAAGATCGTTTCGCTTCATTCATTCATTCACATGTTAATTTAATGTGGATATGAAAATGTTGAATGTTGTTTGCGTTTTTATGCAAGCAGAAGATGGTTGATGCGATATGCACGTACTTCATTCAGTGCGTTTATTGTCATCCGCACTATCGATTCCTGAATCGCATGTTTCTATTGCAGAAGTTTCAAACGCGTTCTAAGTGAATTCCTTCGTCGACTATTCGATAACCATGCGTCAACACGGTTGACTTTCACGAAATTCTCTGCATATTGTAAAGAACTGGTACGGTTAAGACGATTCAAGCTGTTGTGTCCGAATACGGCGACGATTGAGGATTATTTTGATACATCGAATGTGGTGCAGTTCGAGAGGTTTGCATATTACATTTTATTGTGACTATTATTATTCGATGCTCACCTTAGTTTAAAGTTCGACTCTATTTCTTTCTGCTCTTTCAACTGCTGATGAAACAGCAAAAACTCGAAATCGATTCCTGTAGCGAGGAACCGATTTCTAGTGCGGTCCATTGTCCGTTTTGTTCATTGCCACAGGATTTCTTTATGAATGTTTCGCACCAAAATTCGCTTATTTATTTTAGCCGCTTTGATGTGATTCCTTTGTTATGCTCCAAATGTTATCGATGCTTTCTTGCCTATTCAAATGATTGTATATTTTTGCATCATACTAGAAAATTGGAAATGTTTTCGACAGAAATAGAGATAGATGATAATTTTGTTTGCATGTTTATAGAGTTTACTTCGATGATGATATGAAAGAGCGTTTCTTGCTTTCGAAGGATGTGATTTTGTGCATTTTTGCTTTGCCATCTGGAACGGCAGAAGCTAAACTAACGCCGCTTGTGAGAGATTTGATTCAGCAATCTACACAAGTTGTAATCATGACACTGAAAGTATCAACAAAACCCAAACAGTTCGGAAAAGAGCCTTCAATTCAATTGGATATGCCAAAAACTGTGCCCGAATCACCGATAAGTAGGTATTAAATGATATTACCTTTCCGATTGACTATGACTTTTCATCGACTATTTTTTGACATTTGATCATTCTGATCCAGTCAACCTTTTCAAATGTGTATTTAACTGTAAGTGTTTTTCCTTTTAGCATCTCATGCGGGACCAAGTAATGGTTCGTCTTCATATATTGCATTTCTTGAGGCGTCAGCAAATATTCTGCTTACCGAAAAGCAAACCAGTGAATTGAAGGAATTCAATGCATCGATTCGATCATTCTGTCACGAATTTTGCAAAAAACTAGTAGAGCTGAATGGAAACTTGAGCAGAGAAGTTAATTGGGCAATTGAATATTCGAGTGCTGTTGCCATACAGTCGAGTGCACTCAGTCTATTATCACATACGGCAGATGAACGAAAGAATATTGAAAATAATATTAAAGTTGCATGTATAGAATTGACGAACAGCAAAAGTTTGTTTGTTATCAGTTCCTTTTTTTCAACAAATATTCACACATGTTTCACTTACTTTTAAGTTTTCGAGCATGCTGCTGTTATATTTTGATTTCACTGATTGAATAGTTATATAATCGGAGTGGATATTGTTCATCAGCAAAACGTTCCTTCGTAGTGGATTCTTGATCATGAATCCCATTCAAGAAGATTGAATGATGCAACATTGTGAAGTTGATCTGTAGGGACATTCGATGAAAACGCATTTAATGTTCAGATAGTGTCAATCGCATTGACCAACATTTGAATGAACTTGGGAACGAAGTGAGAGCGTTAGATTCGATTGAAATACTGAAGCATCCATCACAGAGAGAGAAGCTTTTTACGCTAATCGTTAGTTTGTTCCATCCACTCTTTTCTTTGCTTCGTTTGATCCCATTTGTTTCTTTGAATTGCTTTTATGAATTGATGTCAGGAAAGTATAACTGTTTTCGAAATTGGGTGCTGTTATCGAATTTGTTCAAAGAACTGCGTGAGGCAATAATTGACAGAAAAAAAAGACGAATAGAAAATACTTCTGTTATATTTTAGAGAAACAGACGTATTACGATGGGTGTGAATCGTCAGGATGTATCAGTTGAACGACTGCTGGATGCAGATCGGTGAGTGTTCTCTCGGATCGATCGAAAAATTTGTTGATTTTGAGTCTATTGAAATAAATCAGATTCATTCATTTGATGGTCAATTGAATTTCTTCCGTTCACGCGGCATTTCATCTTTTTTTTTTTGAATTAACATGAACTGTTTTTTGCTTTCAGTCGTTTTCTGCTGAAATCATTGGACGGCGCTGTGAATCTTTATGAAAAAACTGCATATTTTACTACCGATTTGCTCACCAATCACATCGAAATAATTCTGAGGTACTTTATTCGCCATTTGACTTCGACTTTTTCTTCACCAGTCTATTTCATTGAAAAATATCTTATTTGGAAATTTAAATGTATCAGTCTGTTATATTCTGGAAGTGATTTTTTTGCTTCATTAAAAAGACTTAGTTCTCGAGAATATTTGCTTACAAATTCTGTATTATATGTTGCTTGAAGTTGTGTATGTGTATTGCAGCTGTATGCAACATTAAACAACTGAACTTTGCACGTAGATTCCGTACACTTTCGATTTATGTTGAACATTTTCAGGAAATTGTTCGATGAATGTCGAGACTTGAATAGAGCAAAAAATTCCCTCAAAGAAAGTTTGCAGTTGGTTCATGTTGCTCAAGAAACAAATGAGGTACTCGTTCATTCCATTACTGCTAGGTGATTGTATTTAGCAGTCACGGCTGAGTTTGCTGATTATGATGCTGAAATGAAATGATAAGGGTTCAATAATATTTATGTTTGTTGTAATATGAAACTTTTAGCGACGTGTGGAGGCATCAAGTTCGTCGGATAGCAACAATTCATCTATTATGGATGTTCACGTCTCAACAGCGTATGTCTTTGCTAATCGTTGCTAAAATTGTATTCCAAATTCTTTTATATGTTCGCTGTATATTGCAACTTCTTTTCATTGCGGTTCTTTTTAAAAACGATAACTTTTGATACTTCTTATCATTGTTGTATTCATCGTGTCGAGCATTTTCAGTCAAGGTATACAGTCAGGAGTTCTTTGAAGTATTGACTGATTGTTGGAAGTGAATGTTTTCGATTATTGAAGTTTTTAATTTATAGATTGCAATGTGCAAAGAATGATGCGGTACAACGAAAAAGGAAAGCTGAACAGGAGTACCGAGAAACTGAGCGTCTCATTGAATCACTATCAAGAATCCAGAATACGGAAGCGAATCAACAGGGTGCTGGAGATGACCATTATCAATCACGCTTCTAATCCTTAATTGCTATGAAGTCAGCCGTTCGTAATTCACTTCAATTCGAATTTTTTTGTTCACGATTTTATTATTGTTCATTGTAGAAGATTTATTCTTTTATTTTATTGTACATAGATGTTTCAATTGCGTTCATTGTTGCTTCAGTTATTACCGTTTTTTGTTTTTTAATCAGTTTTAGCATACATTTATTGTCCAGTATTCAATGTTTTAACCGCGCGTTCGTTGTTCATTTTTATTATCATTGACGTTTTTATTGTTATTGTGATCGTCATTATTGTTGTTACGTTGCGCATTTTGTACATTGAAAGTACCTTCTGAAACCTTAATTACTGTGCATT